TTTATACGTAAAATACAACCGAATAATCATTTAATGGACGGGTGGAGTACAAACTCTACAAACTTTAGGTAAATTTTGTAGTAATTATGATTACTTTTTAAGGTTAACAATAGGGGTTAGCAAAATATTTGAAATCCGAAAATTTAAATTTTGATTTGGATTGAATTTTCGAAAAATATAAGATTAGATGAGATAAGATAAAATAATTATGTAGTAAACGCACTCTATCATTACTTGAACAATCATCATAAATATGTATATCTATGTATAAATGAATGTATGAGAGATCTCCCTAATGTTCCAGACTCTGCAAGTCCATAGCTACACAAAACTACACTGCAATTATATATATATATATATGTATATATTTGTTGTTCATTAACTGCTGTGGGAGCCATCAAGAAATCGACAATTCTGCTTAACTTCAATTCTTTCTTGATTTAAAATCAACTCTCCTATAATTCTCAATAAAAAATATATTATTTCATCTTATAAAATATCACATCAAAATACTATTTAAATAAAAGTTCTAATAAGCACTAATTCAAATCAATTTCAAAACACAGTTAAACAAACCCTAAACATGGTGAAATAATAAGTCGACTGAGTAGTTCAACTGTTACATATTCCCAAATACTTTACATTTTTTTTTATCCAGAGCAATAGTGGTTGTGGTTCCTACATAAAAAAATTAAAATAAAATAAAATAAAATAAAAACAATTTTTAATAACTAAGTATAAGTATTTCACTATTTTAAAAATAAATTAAAATACAACTATATGGAGAGCGACTTATATGGTTACTTGGAGAAAAGGGTACATATGTTAGGATTTCTTTAATTTGTCTTTTCTAATCATTTTTTTACTATTTAAATTATCAAATTAAATAAATATAAATCATATTCAATAGTAATTCCTATATAAAATAGAGTATAAAAACAATCATTTCACTTCAAAAATATAAATATAAAAATCTAAGATAAAAACAACACAAAATAGTAAGGACAAGAATGGATTACCCTACTAACATTTTATTTAAAGTATCGACTAAATATGCATATAACAATTAATCTGAACACAATGCTTACGATGACATATACCATGATCGATCTCAACACAAAATGCATGTTAAACATAGTACAAATTGGACGGAGAAAGTATAATTTTTTAAATTTACAATTATTAAAATGCTGTGTTATAAACTTAAATAATAAATCTCATTATAAATTTGGAAGTGTTCATCCAATCTTTTTATGTCGCCACAATTTCTTATTAATATTACAAAAACTATGACATATATACACACAAAATATACTCCCTCCGTCTCGGTCAAAATGACCCTTTTGCTTAAGGACACGATATTTTAGGTAGTGTAAATTAGTAAATTATTAATAATAAGTTATGATATTATTTTATTATTTTTATTTGAGTAGTATTGTTGACATTTTAAATATTTTTACCATTATATATTAATAAAATATATACAACATGGATATCATTTTGTAGAGAATAAAATTTTATATAATACAAATAAAAAAAATTTATTTATTTATTTATAATTAACTTAAAACTAATTTTATTAAAAATAAGAAGTTTTAAATATAGATAAAAATATTTATTTATTGAGGAGAAATATAGAAATAAAGAGTTTTTTAGTGGATCCTACGTAATTAAATTGATTTATATTTGTTAAATAAGTTTAAAATGAATAAATTTACTAAAAAGGAGTCATCTTTAATAGGACGGACAAAAAAGGAAAAGGGTCATCTCTCGCGGAACGAAGGGAGTAGAATATATCAAAACGTAATACAAATTTTAAAAAAGTTGTAAAAATACTTTGATTAGTGTCTTGTAATATTAATATAAGGACATTTGTACAAAAAGTTATACAAATATAAAAGATATTTTTAATGTTAAATACACTGACGCAAAAAGTATAAATATGACCCTTATTTTATCAAATCATAAAAAAAATCAACAATTAATATAAAATAATATTCTTTATACCTAATATAAAAATATATTCCTTTAAAAACAGAAAATGAATACAGCCTCTAAACATGAAAACTTTTAATTTTAAAAATCAATAAATCTCAGTACAATAAATTTTCTCAAGCATAAATCTATAATCAACTCTATCGAATCTCGAGTTGTGCCATACCCGACATAGCCAAAAGAGGACCACAGCTAGTCATGCCCAATAGAAATAACTGAACTTCAGTGCATTCAGGTTATATACAGTCAAATTTACTGCCAGATTTCAACCTTCAATCTAGTTTATATCAAAAAAATTCTACTTTTAATTTAATTATTTCCTAAAACATATATAATCTAAATTTAATCCCATGATGCAAACAAAGATTGAGAAGCACTAATTATAATTCAATTTAAAATATATTTATATATAAAACTTTCTTTAATGATAAAAGTAAGATGAATTTCACTTTATCAAACTTTGTGCAAAGACCATTTATTTTGGTTTACCTGATTTATGAAATGGTCTTCAGATGGCCAAACATTTGCCTCAGCAAAAGTACTTTTGTAATTTATCTTATTTAACTTTTTCCCTTCTTTAACCTGAATGAATGAAAACATCACCATCACCATCAATTGTCCAAATCACAACAATATCTCTAAATCTGGAAACCATAGGCAGAAAAAAGAATCATTTTTTACCTACACATATGCTACTAACTAATTTTACAGATTTAACACCACTATCAATTTTTTTGTTTTGTTTTTGCCTGTAAATTCATAATATTTTTTTTACTTAAGTCAGTTATTCAATGATATCATCATTTTCCTGTCAAACAAAAATAGTTACTTCCTCCGTCCACCAAATTTACTCTCAATATTCAACATTTAACTATTACCTTCCATTCCAACACTTATTTATTATAATTGTCACTACTTTTATTATACTGTCTTTTTATTTCATTTAATTACTAACTAAATTTCCAAAAAATACTATTAACTACTTTTTTACTTTTTTTACTTTTTTAATAAAACATTCATTTTTTTTAATGTCCACGCCAACTCCAAATGTGCTAATTTTTTCGGACGAATAGAGTACTTTACACGAAACAATAATCAAACCAAACAATCCATCAAATCTTATAATTATTCACAAGTATGAAATAATACCTCAAATTTACTTTCAAATTTAAATAACATGCAATCATTCAATTTGTATATAATATTTTATTTATAGCACCATTCATTGCCACACATTCTAAATAAAAAATACACTTTCACACACCAAAACATTCCAAAAATTTCATCCAATCATACAATATCATTTACCCCTCCAAGGCTATAAAATAAATCATTTTTTTTAATAATCTTACAAGTATTAAATATTAGTGTATAAGAACTTTAAATCAAAAATTACACTCACTATCTACCTTTCAAGATAAGCTTTCAATGAAAATTACAAGGGATGATTGATCCTTGGGTGGCCCCATGATCCCAATTCTAGATGCATCCATACCATTCATGGAATGGGATCCAAAACATTCATAGTGTGGATGCATCAGTAGTAGAGCTGTTATATAAGTCGAGATGAATAAATTCACAAGTTCGACTTATTGAAAACTCAAAGTTAAGTCTAGTTTGAGGATCTATTGAATCAAATAAACTCAGATTTAATGAAATGATATATTTACTGCTGTGTAGTAACCAAATTCAGAAGTTGGACTAATTAAAACAAAAAGTTAGTTCAACCTCAATTCTCTAATCATAATAATAAGTCAAGTTTGAAAACATTTTGAATTGAATAAACTCAGAATTGATAAGAGGATAAATTTACTGCTGTATAGTTACTGTATCTATGAGTTGGAACTCTAAACTTACAGTCAATATGAGTTATTGAAATAACCATTTATGCTTTCTTTCTCCAGTGCCCTAAAACTCATCATATTGATTTATTCACTACTCTATTTTGGGCATAACAGGCATCATTTCTCAGTACCCTATCCTGTCCTCTGACGCTGCTACGTGGCACACACACTAAGCTCAACATTTTTAAATAATTATTTATTGAAAGAATTTAAAAACTAAAAATTGTATTTTCAATATACTTTACACTCAACCATAAAAAGTTTAAAAACCATCATATGTTTTGATGTGTTTTTATTTTCATTCTTGCATTATTATTTTTTTAAATAAAAAATATCACATAAAATACTTATTTTCATATACACTATGATATCTAAACTAATTTTTATTTAGAATATTTCGTCAAATACCTATTTACATTAAAAATATATGTATAATTCTATTTCAATTCAAATTCTTACTATTTCTAAAACATATCTAACCAAACCAATTTATTTCAACATCACATTCAATCATTATTTTCAAAACAATAAATCGCAAAACATAATTAAGAAAACCCCAAATTTTACAAATGAGAATAATCAAGAACAATACAAATAAGTGGAAGCAAGAAAAGAATCAAAAAACATGCTTTGTACTTTACCCTCTTTCACTCATTTTGCACTATTAATTTTTCAAAAAACATCACATCAAATATATTTTTTCTCTCGTAAAACATCATATCAAATAATAATTTTTTACTTTTTTTTCAAACTTTCAAAATTCCAAAAACCTCTATCTATTATACATAGACACACATAGAAGGAAGAAGGTGAGTCACAATATCTACATCACAAATACAATGCTTCAAGGAAAATCGCATATTTACAAAAGCTAACCGAAAAATTTAACTCAACTTATCTACATTTACTCTTTTTGAACATGTCTCGATTCGATATTGAAAATGGTTTTAATTCTATCCCGAAAAGGCTTCTAATAAGATATAAACGACAAAACGTTTAAACAAACTCAAATAAATTTTCAAAAAAAAAAGCATTTTTTAAAGAAATCAGGAAATAAGCATAAAAATCTGGGGGTGCGAAGCCATTTCTTGCTACAGGACATCATCAAAGCGGTTTATAAAACAGCTGCAGCAGCAGCAGCAGCCATCTATTCTTGTTACTAATAAATTTAGTTTGCATACGTCTCTCTGTTTTTTGTAATTATTTGATGCTTCATTTATTCATCCCATCCCTTCCCTTCCGCTTCCCTTCCATTCTGTCTGCACTGCCTTCAGCTTTACTCAATCATTCCTACCCCTCCCATACACTGTTTTTGCTTTGCACAAATCAATATTCTAAGCTTTCCATGGCTCCTAAATTCCTACTCTCTCAATCTTGATGATAATCATCCCTGTTTTGGTGTTTTCTGCTTCAATCATATCTATAAACCAGTTTTCGGTTTTTTCTATGCACAAATTGATATTCTAAGTTTGCCATGGCTCCTAAATTCCTACTCTCTTAAGTTTGATGATAATCATCCCTGTTGTGGTGTTTTCTGCTACAATCATATCTATAAACAAGTTTTGGGTATAGAAAGTTAATCAGAGGCCAATCAAGAAAGGTATAAGTTCTGTTTTGTTTGTGCTTTTTAGAAATTTGCAGTAGTCTCTTCTGATTGGGAGAGTTTTTTTGATTTTTAGAGGAGATTTGAGCAGAAAGTTTGAATCAATTGGTGTTTTCATTAGTAGAGCAAAGAAAGGAAGAAATTGAAGTGCGAAAACAAGGAATTAAGGCGAGATTGAAAATGAGAAAACTTACGACTCTAGGGCGAGGAGCAGCAATGGCAATGGCGGAGATGAACAGCAACGTTCCTCCATCTGTCGGACCGCCGCCTCAGCCATCTCCGGCGAACTGCGACGCGCACAAATGTCCGTGGTGGCCGTACTCCAACGCCAAGGATTTCAAAGCGAACACCGCCTTAGTCCTCGTCATCCTCTTCTGCGCCTTGATCTGTGCCCTCGCTTTCAACGCCGGCGTTCGCTACTTCATACGCTCGCATTGCTTCCGCCGCCGGCAGCGCGACGAGAAGGCGGATCCCGGAGGCGCCGCCGCGGATCATCCGCCGGAAATCCCCTCGCTAACCTACTCAGAAGGCATGGAACTGGCCGGAGCCGAGACCGAATGCATCATCTGCCTCTCGGAATTCGCAATTGGGGAAAAAATTAGGGTTCTGGAGAAATGCAACCATGGATTCCACCTTCACTGCATTCAGAAATGGCTCATTTCGCATTCTTCCTGCCCTACTTGCAGAACGAGCTGCTCCATCGAATCCAACCTTCCGCCTCCATGAAAATGAAAATTCTCACCTCGTAGTAAAAATTTTCGGCCAAAAATTCCTTGTTTCCGAGCTAAAACTTCACAATTAAGCCGAATTTTGGTATGAACAAATCTGCTTTTTCTTCTTAATCATTAGGTTAATCATTGTATTAAGCAGTTATTAATCTTCTGGTTGGATTATTATCATCATAATTTTTGTTATTATTAGCGAATGATTAACATTGCCTATCATAATATAAAGCACTAAAAGCAACGGGGGCTTGTTTTGGGAAATTAACTTAAAATAGAGAATTTGAATTTTGTTTGTTATAGGGATTGGATTTTTTTTTTACTATTCATCCAATTTTTTTTTTTCAAAAATATCAAATCAAATACCTATTTTTCATTTTTTATATTATACTAAAAATCAATTTTACATTTAAAACATCACGTCAACACCTATTTATATCACATCATACAACTATTCAAATTCAAAATTTTTACTATTCAAATCTCAATTCAAAATCCAAACCTCCAAACAAACACACACTAATGTAAATAGTGGATTTGGTTGTTTAATTTTACATATAAAAAAATAATAGTAATATTTTATATTAAAATATTTATTTTTTTCAAAGAAATTATATATATATATTTATTTATTTATTTAGAATGAAGAAAAAAATTTCTTGGACAAATAAAATGATTATTAATATAATTTATATAAGCTCTCTGTTCTATTTATAATGGTTGTCGATATGAAATTTTAGATATATAATTAATAAGTAATTAAAAATATATTAATTAAAATTAAAAAAATTATAAATTAAAAATTTTAAAATAAATTTAAAATATATAATCATTTAAAAATAAAAATAAAAAATAACATAATATATAAAACGAACATAAGTGAACAAAAATAACAATATGTTTTTGAAAATTGTAGAAAACAAATCCATAATGTATTATCTTTCTTTGTATATCTATATAATCTGTTAGGTGTAATTAATATATTTGTTATATTTGTATTATATTAATATATTTTTTAATTTATTGAATTCTGTTTTCGTAATAAATTAAAATAATATTTTTATCATTTGTATTTTATATATAAATTAATTATATATATAAATTTATAAATTTTATAAAAATTAAGATATTTTAATATTAATATACAATGATTTTACTATAATGAAATATGTATTTTAAGTAGACCAACTAAAATAATATAAATAATATTTTAAGTTTGTTGAAAAATTAATTTATTATTTATGTGCTGTCTAATTTATATGTACGTTATTTTTTTATATTAAATTAAAAATTAATTTTATATTTATATCAATATTATTTTAATTCAAAATTTTTATTATTTAATTTCAAATTTCAAAATCTAAACTCGAGACAAACACACTGCATAGAGCTAATTCCGACAATGGGTTAAAGCTCATGTTTCAATCGGGCCCAAATAACATTGAAATTCAAAACCGGCCCATTTAGATCCACAAAACCCTTTTGGGGGATTTGATCAAGCGAACTTGCAGAAATGGCGTGCGATTCGTCGACGTGTCAATCAGGTTGCTACCGGGACGACGATTCCGCCGCCGAGGACGGCCAGAGACGGCGTGAGAATGGAGGGGGATCCAATTGCGGCTCCGGTGGTTATGGATTATGCATCAAATGCAAGGTTAATGAAGCCATGGCTACCACCGACCCTGCTGTTGCTGGCGGCAGTGGAGACGGCGGAAGATTCTGCGCGGATTGCTTTCGGAGTAACTTGTTCGGGAAGTTTCGATTTGCTGTTACTTCTAACGCCATGATTTCTCCTTCCGATAATGTTCTTGTCGCATTCTCCGGCGGTTCTTCTTCTAGGTATACCTCTGTTTTGCGCCTTTCTGATTGTTCTTCTTTAACGAGTTTATTGCAATTGGAGTGTAATTTAATTAAAATTGAATAAAAAAAATGTGGATTCTCTGAGCTAGGGAGGTGAGGTAGAATTTGGTATGACGTTATTGATGTGCAGTTTGAAAACCTTTTCGGTTTGATAGGAATCTAAGTCTTGAAGCTCTCCATTTTCTTATGGAATCATTTGAATCTGTTTTTATTTTTCAAATCTTCGTGAAGTAAATGTTGGAATTCTCGGTTTGAAAGAATTGGGATAATCAATTGTTCTAAATAATATTTATTCTTGAAAATTAAGGGTGTGTTTGTTACTATTCAACTAGGTCTACAATAAAATTCTTCTAAGATTTTTGTTTTTGATTCTGGTTTGAATAGTAAAATTTTGAATTGAAATAGTTGTTTAATGTGATATAAACATGTATTCATGTGATATTTTGAAAGTAAAAATAAAGTTTAGTGTAATATAATAAATAAAAAATTGGAATATGATTTGACGTTTTCAAAGAGAAAGAAAGTTGAAATAGTAAAAATGAAACACACATGAATCATCTCGTAAAATATCATAACAAAATACCATTTAAATAAAAATTCAAATATAACACCAGCACCCAAACAAACCCTAAATATACGATCTTCGTGATGAGCAAAAAATAGAGAAATTAATGGTAAAATATAATTATCATTATCACATTATTCATATAAATCAATGTTATTTATTATTTCATTTCTTTTAAAATGTTAACTAGTGAAGTTTTTCCCTTAAAAACATTTATTTATAGCCTAACCCTTTTAGACTTTAACATATAATTTTTTCCTTAAAAAAACCCGATTATTCCCCTCCTCCAATTATTCTACTTTAGTCCCGATGACAGTGCCATTCGATAGTAGAGTTGCTTCGTGAGTACATAAGTCATTTTATTTTTGGAAGTGATATGCGTATACCAGAATACTACGGCCTATTTTGTTTTGCAAGGAAGTTATTTCATTATCACACCTTATTTCTTATAGTAAAATTAAATAATTCATCCACGGTGGAGCATGTAATGTGTTCTTATCTTCTTCTGATCTGCATTTTTAATAAATGAGAAATTTTAGCATACTTCTGAATTCGATTGTCTTCAGAGTGGCTCTGCAATTCGTTCACGAGATGCAACACAAAGCACAGAAGAATTTTGATGCAAGTAGAGATAGATTACTACCAGTTTTCGGGGTTGGTGTTGCTTATATAGATGAAAGGGCCATTTATCCTGTAGCTTCTAATGATTTTGATCGATCAGTTAATGAGATGGAGCTCATAACCGCGAGTTTAGCTCCGCCAAAGAAACAATTTTTTATTGTCCCGATAGAAAATCTTTATTCTACTGATTCGGCGGTTGGAAGGCAAAAGTTGACCGAGTTACTCGATGCTGTCGATGATGTTACTGGAAAAGAAGATCTCGTTCATTATCTGCAGATGCAATCTTTACAAAAGGTCTACTTAGCGCCCATTATCAATTGCTTATCTTAGGTCAATAGACGAATAGAAATTACATTTGTTGCACTATCACTATGCAGGTTGCGTTTGAAAATGGATACACCAAAATCATGTTGGGCACGTGCACATACCGGATAGCATGTCATGTTCTAGAAGCTACTGTCAAGGTTAGCCCAATATTATGAATACGTCTATAAAACTAAGTTATCTGCAACTAGAGCTGATAAACGAATAGGCTAGCTCGCAAACCAAGCTCGACTCGACTCGTTAGTAGAGATAAATGAGTCGAGATCAAGCTCAAGAAAGATTATTTCTGTAAATGAGCCAAGCTTGCACTCTGCTTGTGAGCAGCTCGATTAAGATAAATTTGTATCATTTTATATATTAATATAATATATATAATTTTTTCTATCAAAATTTGCATTTATTATTGAAATTCAAATATTATATTATAAAAACTTATGAGTAAAATAATGTATTTGATTTATATATTAAAATGTATAATATGTATAAAACTCAAGTCGGGCTTGAGAAGGCGAGCCTAGCGAGCCGAGCTCGAGCTACCATTTTAGCTCGAATCTTAAACAAGCAAACTCGAGTTTTTTATCTATAGCATGTTGGAATCAAGTTCGAACAACAGATCTTTTAGCTCGCTCGGATCATTCAACCGTTCTATTTGCAACCTCTGCCCTTTTATCCTTGGTAATATCGAGTTCTCTTAAACAAGCCAAACATGGATACAAAAGTTGGTTTGTCAAATTGAAACTAAACTCATTAACTTCCCACTTCCCATAGCATTTGATGTCGTTCGAATGTTCATTAAACAATAACATTTAATGCGTTAAGCAATTTATACTTTCTTTTACCAGGGCCAAGGTTTCTCTTTAGCTGCAGATATTCAATATGTTGATGCAAGATCGAGGGTGCCAGTGGTGCTTCCCCTTCGCGACTGTCTCTCTGAAGAGTTGAAAATGTTATGCAGCCTTGAAAGGTTTGTCATAATTTTGGAATGTGGAGGGGTCCTCTTTGATCATTTTCAACTAGTATGTGTCTTATTTTTTAGTTAACTTGTTTCGTGTTGGATCTTATCTTCTCCATTGCGGCAGATTAAGGACTACAGAAGCATTTCAGCAACCTCGCACGGGCATCAATGGCCTGATAGCATCGTTTGTGAGAGTGTTGAAGGTACAACATTTTATTTTATTTTTTTTTTATAGCATTGTGTATGTTGAGCTGCTTTCTTATTGTAAAACCATCATTTAAGACAATTTTCCAAAGATTTTGATTCGAACAAATTTGCCTACGGTCTGATGATAATACTCTCTATGTCCGGAATTAATCTATTCATTTTTTTCATCAAACTATTTGTTTCCTTTTTTTTAATAATTATACTTCCCTCGTAACTAAGAAAAAAAAAAAAAAAAAACTTTACAATTTACATATTATAAGAAGTATGGCATCATTATTATTTTAATTTTTTTTTTCTATGAGTAATTTTGATTATTCATACTTCTTTTGTACTATGTACATATAAATACTATTATTAAAAAATCTCCTTGCAACGGATATATACATATGGAAGGAGTATTTCTATGAGTTTTTGGGACATAAGTTTTAATGGTGCGTTTGTTTGGGGGTTTGAATTTTAGATTTGCGTGTGATATGATGTTTTGAATGTAAATAAATTTTTAATATAATATAGAAAATGAAAAAATAGAAGTTTGATTCGATGTTTTAGAGGAAAAAAATTTTAGTTAATAGTAAAAATCTGTATAAGCCCTCCAAACAAACACACTTAACAAAGTATATATTGTATTTTTAGTGATATTAATTGTGAACGTGTCAAAAAAATTTCTTGGGTGAACACACTCGATGCCTCTGACAATTAGTTACATTGTGTAACCAATCTGACTCATCACATCTTCGATTATTATCGAATTGCGTGATAACTTACTGATTCTCTTACAGGACGACAATCCCTCGCGCGAAAGCACCATTGTCAGGACTGCAGGGAAGCTGACGCCTTTCTCCTTCAACAGAATTCCCGAAGACGGCGACCACAGCAACCAATTAGCTTCTAAGAGGAGGCAAAAGAAATATAACTTGAAGCCTAACGAATCCTTACCCCCGGACTCCTATTGTCTCATCTGCAATAGCCCGCTTAAGAAATCCCCCGACACAAATTCAACGATTTCTGAACATACGTGCCCAAGTTGCCAGTATCAGATTCTTCCGAAGGATCTTAGAACACTCGAGAATTTTATTTCACTTCTCCCGGCATCCTTGACAGCTCAAGTAGATAATTCCTACGTCAACCAAAAGCTGCTGAGGTTATAATTATATCTTGCCGGATTTAAAAGTTGCTTGCAAGATTTTTGTTCTTACATGTTTTTCATTTCGCAGGGACCAAATACGAGACTTTTTGTTGTCGGATAGTGACGATGGGACCTGAATTATGACTTCCTCGACTCTGTCGGTGCACAATTAAGGTGTGTTTGTTTGGGGGTTTGAATTTTGGATTGAGATTTGAATAGTAAAAAATTTGAATTGAAATAGTTGTACGATGTAACAGCATTAATGCTTGTAAAATTGATTTTTAAAATAATATAAAAAATAAAAATAGGTGTCACTGATTGAATGTGGGATGGAGGATAAGGAGCTAACCACTCAGTACCGGATTCTTATTACATGTGGAGTGGATGATATGTCTGAATGGATCGGGGAGTCAATCGACTGAAGATTGCTCGGAGTATTTTGATTCTGAAGGTTAGCTCCTTTGTCACACCTTATGGTTTTGTTGTTGATTATTGGAATATTATTTATGGGTAACTTTTTGTGGTGATCGACCTTAAATAGTGTTCTTTTTTGAGTTTTCGATAGAACTCTCGTTTTAAAATTGTCTTCGAAAGGGGTCGACTTTTACAAGGTTATGGGTTTATTTGTATTTTGGTATTTTGAAATAGTTTTGAGAATATAAAGAAAATTAAAAGTTATTTTCACGTGTTAGTTAATATGTTGCATTGTGTTATATTAATATAAACTGTGATAATCTGTGTTGTTTGTTACGTGGATGTCTGTAGTTTGAATGATACCCTTCAATACCCTGATGAAAAATGTGTATTTTATGTAATATTTTTGTAGTTGGAATAATTTATTTTACTCTAGGACTAAAAGTGATAAATTTTTCGTTTGAGTAAGATCAATTGATAAAAAAAAAATAAAAATTGGGGATTGGATTTTAATTCAATTAGTCATCCTATTTTTTTCTCTCGAAAACATCAAATCAAACAACTATTTTTTATTTTTTATATTATACTAAAAATCAATTTTACATTCAAAATATGCATCAGCTGTTTATATCACATCATCAACTATTTAAATTTAAAATTTTTTCTATTCAAATTTCAATTCAAAATTCAAACTTCCAAAACAAACACACCCTAATAGACCAGAATTGATAAATATGATATTGAATGTGACAAAAAGAAAAAAAAAATTACTCCGAGCATTATAAAAGTTTTATATACAAAAGAAATAATTTTGTTTGAAATGACATTAGATGAATGACAATGCTAAAACCCCAAGGGTGTGTGTGTTTGAGGGTTTGGATTTTGAGTTGAGATTTGAATAATAAAAATTTTGAATTTGAATAGTTGTATGATGTGATATAAATAGGTGTTGATGTGATGTTTTGAATGTAAAATTAATTTTTAGTATAATATAAAAAATACAAAATAGATGTTTGATTTGATATTTTTTTTTAAAAAAAAAGTGAATATTGTATTTAAAATTCAATTCCCAAAACAAACACACCTTCTAGGTTTTACAAATATCCTATAAAGGGAAAATTCTTTCTTTAATAATAATAACAATAAATAAATCTGAATTTATAATATTAATTATTTATAAATAAAAGATGATTAGAGTGTAACCTCTAAATATAATTTTCATTTAAAATATTATTTGGATGTATTCTCATCTTGTAGACATATTTTTCTAATAATAAATACTAGTCCTTCCGTCCAAATAAGTGCAACATTTATTTTTAACACGGATTTTTAGGTGAGTAATATTAAGTAAAATAATTTAGAAATTAAATGATGTGACGAAGAGAGAAATATATATTTTATTTTTTTATTTAGATAATGTGAGAGAATAAAGTGTAGGGTAGAGATTAAATATAATTAATTATTTTATATTTTAGAAATGTTGCATGGTGTTTGGACGTAACAAAAAGGAAATGTAGCAGGTGTTTGGGAATGAGGGAGTATATAATAAGATTTATATGATTTATTTTATGTATTTGTGCTAAAATAATTATGAACATTATATATTATCCATAATTTTTTAATGTATTTTACTTTAAAAGAGGTCTATGTTTATTTGGGCCCAAATAGTATTTGGGCTTTAATGGCCCAAAACTTATAATTTAATATTAAGATTTCTAAAGTTGGGATTGATCGAAGGGCCCAATGGACTTAGCAGAAGAGCTTCCAGCGGACTCTGCAGCCTCCGACGGCGGCCACCGCCACCAAGCACGGCGGACGATATGCTCCGCCGGTTGCGGTCGTCCTATAAACGTGTGCCTCTGCCACGCCCTCCCTTCCTCGCCGCTCGCGACGGCCACAAAAGTCGTGATTCTTCACCATCCGCACGAGAGCAAGCATAAGCTTGCAACGGTTCCTCTCCTGTCGAAATGCCTTCAGAACTGCGAAATCGTCGTCGGACGCAAGCTGAAGTACGGTCAATCGAAGCTTCTCGATTCTCTTCATGATCATGCCTGCGAAAACCGCAATTCGCCTCTCAATCGAGTTGTTTATCTCTTCCCTGGTACGTCGGCTAATATCGTTCAACAGAAAATCTAGGGTAAAAGTATATGTTGAACTCTGTTTATGGCGATTTGTGTAGATTTACCTTTTGTAAGCATAAATTAGGAATCAGGATGCCTTCTCTGGAAATTCAGCACTGATGCATGACTGTATGTTTGAGGATACGCTGTTAATTGTTTATGTGTGAACCCTAATTTTTTTAATGATTTGGTTTCGATCACAACTATACATGAGGAATGAATTCTTTTTATGGAAATTCAGCATTGAAACATGACTGTATGTTTGATGATACGCTGTTAATTGTTTATGTATGAACCCTAATTTTTTAATTGATTTGGTTTCCAATTCCACCAAAAACATGCATGAGGAATCAGAATTCTTTTCTGGAAATTCAGTATTGAAACATGACTATATGTTTGATTATTCACTGTTAATTGTTTATGTATGAATAATGAACCCGAAATTTTCAATTGATTTGGTTTCCACCAAAACCATACCTGAGGAATCAGAATTCTTTTTCTGGAAATTCAGCATTGAAACATGGCTATATGTTTGATGATTTTCTGTTATTTGTATATGTGTGAACCTTAATTTTTCAATTTGAATTGGTTTCCACCAAAACCATATTCCAAGCTCTGCTTATGATGGTTTATGTGTAGAACATATATATATACACACACAATGCAATCATTGTATTTCCATATACATTTTGGTGATAATTGAATCATTCTTTAGGCCCAGATGCTTTGCCAGTTGCTGAAGTTGTCAATCAAGGAAACAACTCTCTCGGCGACACAGCCATGTCTGGTATCATCCTGATTGTTTTTGACGGAACTTGGAAGCACGCAAAGGAAATGGTGGTTGCAAGTTCACCATTTTTATCAAAGTTTGCCATTCAAGCTTGTTTGGATTTTGATGTTGAGGTTGGTGGAGGGACTATTTTTGATTCAGAATTGATTCTAAGGAAAGAGCCATTTGGTGGATGTATGAGTACAATGGAGGCAGTTGCCAGGTGTCTAAGAATCCTCGAGCCAAATGGGATTGACATCGAGTCGACTCTAATCAATGTCTTGAAAGCTATGGTTAATTTTCAGGCTTGTTTCTTGAAGCCCTTGAAGCCAAGAAGACACCTAATGCAAAATCATGGCTGAGGTAAAGTAAAAGGATAGTTTTTATGATTTGAGCCTTGAATGAGTGAAATTTAATTAGAATTCAGCATGTTAATTAACTTAGGGTGCGTTTGTATATAGAATGAATGGTTGAGAAATTATATTAGATAATAAAATTGAATATAAATTAATTCAACAAAGAATAAGAAAGAAATGTAATGTAGAAATATAGCAATGAATCGATCCAAAAGAGATGATATATTGCGTTCTAGTACAGCAAGAAAAAAAAAATGAATCAATCAAGAGAAAACGATGGATTGGGTAATAGAGAGTTTTAGGAGTAGTTCACAAAGAGAAATATGATATGTTTAGTTGGTGATCTCTTATTTTGGTTTTGTTTTATGATTTGAATAGTAATTTAAATATGATGTTTTGTGAAACAAAATAATATATTTTATAGAGAATATGAAAGTTAAATAGTATAAAAGTTTTTTAAAAAGTATACCAAATGAACACACCATTCGATTTCTGAAATTTTATTTGCAGAAATCATTCATTTCTTAATTTTGATTTTTCTTACTTAAACAAACAAGATAAATGGAGATATTTTTCGTTTCTCTATATCCATTTTCCTGTACCAAATACCCTCTTATATTTTTACATAAATGTTAATCCAATTATTAGTATATGCAGCGAAGCGCATGACCGTGATTCTCCAATGATGCGATGCTGTCAGTATCATACCACTTTTCGGTGACTTTGTGAGCTTCTTTAATCCAAACTCTTTAAATCTTTTTATCTATATTTCAATGCTCTTTATTACTACTTGCGGTTCATATTTTTAATCTTCTTGTGTTAGCTTCGTTCACTTGTTATTTAGTCAGATCACTGCATTATATAGATTCAATCCGTAAAAGATTTATTGTTGTATAATAGCTCAATATCAAGGGGAAGTATTGCTTAGATCTTTTAACCTGATTTTGCTTTCCTTTATGCATCTTATATGCAATTGTTAAAATACTATAGTGGTACATGATAGTTTATTATGTTACGAAACTACAATTATTGAATTAGAAAATAGATATATTGATTGGAGACAGCTCAAGATGATAAAATGAATATATTGATTGTTGATTGATTTAGTGTTACATAGGCCATCTTGCCGAACCATGTAGAACATGTTTCGATTTTTTTTTTGCTTTTTAACATTTTGTGATTGTTATGAAAAATATCGAATGTGTTTCGTTGCAAGTTGAGAGGTGTAGTCTGATATTAGATTTTATTGTTGAATAATATATATTTGATTTAAAAATGCAATTTCAAATATGTTTTGAATGTTCTAAATACTATTATTTTTGTAGAGAATAAAACTTTTTATTTAGTACATAGTCGAGATATTCCTTTCAAATTTATCCTCCTACAGTAAAGTTCCATCATCATTGAAGTTGTTTTGTGTTTTTCTTTTTTCTCTTGTTATATGTCCATGATTGTTGTTCTGGTGTGATGATGAATTGTGAAAGTTCTTGTGCATAATGTTGGGACAATTCAAAAGTCGACATGTTCGTTAGCTTTATTGTTGTAATAAAAAGAGGGGGTGGGTTGGGGTGGGGTGGGGGTGGGTGTCATGTCAGGCAGGCAGGCTGGTGGTGGGGTTCCTCACATTGTGTGCTTTTTATTCACTTTTTTCCCCATTATGATTGATAAATGTGTTTATACATTTGGCCCTCCTCATGTCTCTCCAATTCTATAATTACCTCTCTTACTTATCTTTTTATTTCATTTTATTTATCTTCCGTATAAGTTTGTTGAATTATGATTTGAAATTGATTTAAAATAGAGAATTGATCTGAATCTTTATTTACAATGATATTCTGATTTGATGTTTCTTTAGTGGAAATAATATAGTATTACTGGAAACCGTACGAAGTGAATAGAATACATCATACAACTAAACACAACAATAAGTTCCGATAATTTGAAAAGATATATATATATATGTATATATGAAATAGTAAAAACGGTTTAGTTAGTGTCCTGATTAGATACAATCAACAAATAGAAAATAAATAGACAACACATGATATCAATTAACATAGACTGAGATCATGTGTTGAGTTCAAAGGTTATAGGGTATGTTGTATGAGTGTACTCATATGTTAGTTCTATTGTAGTAATACTTCATCTGTTTCATATATTTTGTGCGCATTTATATATATTATGAAGAAAAATTTATTTAAACTTATGAAAATTGCAATACAAAAAATTTGAAAATTATCACCGACTAAATGCAACTTTAATGTTATCATATAAGACTTTGATGAATATGCTAAAAATATTGCTATAATGCCTAAAATAGACAACTTTTCAATTTGAATCGGTATAGTGTTACATGACATCAAACTCTATATGGAATAAATATTTGATTTAAATTTTTGTTATTTTAAATTTCTCTTACATCCAAACACATGGGTGTATTTGTTTAGGAAGATTGTTATTAGAAATGTGTTTTATTTGATGTGAGGTATAGTTAATTAAATTTTGTAAATAATATAAAAATAATAAGTGTGTCTAATCTATAAATTTTTTTAGAAAAATATGTTTATGGAGAATTGTAGATTTTAAAATATATATTATATTAGGTATTTAAAAAAATTTAAATATAATTTACAAAATTTTAAAATAAATTTAAAAACAGTAGACATACATTTCATTAACCTATGTCATTTTGATAATTTGAAAAAGCTTATACTAGTACATTAAATTATACCAAATACAAACTAAGGTTTTGTTTGTTTTGTATTTTTAGGTTTAGTTTTTTTTTTAATATAATATATAAAGAATTATGTCGATAATATAAAATTAATATTTTATATTGACCGTTAATTTTTGTAGAAAAATTAAATATATATTATATATATTGAAATCGTATCCGAAAATTTTCTATGAACAAACAAATCCAAACTGCACCCTATAATGTTATCTTTGTATTATAATATTGCATCGTTTTGAAAAAAATAAAAAATTATGGATTTATTTGTTTTTATTTAATTTTCATTTTTTTTAAGTTTTGATTTAAATTTTATTTTACCCGTAATATTTTATGAAAAAAATATTACTCCCTCCGTCTCGCAAGAAGGTTATCATTTGGTTTTTGCATCATTGTATTTAACATTAAAAATATTTTTATATTTGAATAATTTACTCGACAAATATCATTGTATTTGTATTGTAAAAGACTAATAAACGTATTTTTTGTTTTTTTTTTCTTTATTTCTACTGCGTATTGATATAATAATTAATATTAAAAAATCACTGCGGAGGAGAGAGTATATTTTTATTAGTGACCATATAAATTGAGTATTTTTTTTTACTTTTTATTTTAATTTAGAAAACAAACAAACCTCTCGTGATTAAACATAAATACTTCTGGTATGATATTATTTTTTTATATAAAATATCATTTTTTTTAAATAAAAATTCACTCTCAAGTACAATAAATTAATATTTCATATAAATGAATGAGAGTGATGATAAAAACAATATTTTTTTTTATTTTAAATCATGTATGTCTAATAGTATTTATAAAAAAACCAAACACTCATGAAAATTAAGAGTTTGTTAGTAGTAATTTAAATTGATTTGAAATAAATTATTATTTCGATTCTTTTAAATGGTATTTTGATTTTTATATTTAAAACTCCAAGTATCTGACTTTATATATTTTTTTTCTTTTATAAAATTTTAAAATAAATCCCCCAACAATCACAATTATGTATTTTATTTTGTTTGGCTTTGTATTTTTAATTTGAATTTTAGTTGAAAATAGTATTTTTAACCTAATATTTTATATAAAAAAATTATTTTTATTTTTTATTAGAAATTATATAATTACATAATATTATTATTAATTTGAAGTCAAAATCGAAGTACATATTAAATATTTTATTTATATGACAAGAGTCGCTTTCAGTCCCCAACCGTCGGATGGGCGGAGCAGTCCGTTGAATTCCACCGTCCAAACCGCCCATTTATTAATATATATTCACCATTTTCTCTTATTATAATTATCACAGGCGTTTCTTTTTCTTTTGCTATTTTAATTTATTTATTATTATTTTAGTTTTATCTTGGTAAATTCTATAATACTTTATACTTATTTGTATTTTAATAAAAATGCACAAAATATCATATATTTTATTTATTGTGTGAAACACTCTGTATTAATATAAAACTTGCACGAAATACTCTCATCGTAACTGATGTTTGGTTCTAGTCAAACTCTTGTAAATCAAGCGGTGAGACATCCTCCGTTTAAGGTTGGGTCCAGATTCGATTCTGAGTGGGAGTGTGTGCATGTGTTGGGTGAAATTCTTGTGGATTGTTGGGTAAAAAAAAAAAAATTTGATGTTTGGTTCTAATTCAGTTTGAAATTTTATTGATTTGAATTGAATCGCTGCTTTTGAACTCTTGCTCTTTCGAGATGATTTTCAAAAAGAATAAAAATAAATAAATACTTAAATTACACAAGTTATATACAAATAAAAAACATTTTAAATATTTTTTTGAATAAAATAAATAAATAATTGATCAATTATTTATTTTTATAGCATTCGTAAAAATCAGATAATAATTTGTCTCAAAAAAACTATAAAATGAATGATTAATCAGTTATTTATTTATTCAAAATTGTTTAAGATATTTGTATAAAACTTGTGTAATTTAGGTCTTTATTTAGAATCAAACATCGACAATAAAAGTATTTTGTGCAAATTTTATATTAACACAATAAATTTCATGCAATAAATAAAATATAGAGTATTTTGAATACTCATGTTGAGTTAAATTTGAAGTAAAGAAAAATGTATTGCAAAAAAATATATATATACTAAACCTAACTTGGAAGCCATTTATTCATGCAATGGAAAATTGAAAAAGACTCGTAGCATCAAACCAAAATACAAAAACAAACACACCCTTAGTTTCGATTTTATTATATTTTTAAAAACTAAATCAAATCAAATACATATTTTTATTTATATACTTCTTCCGTCCCAATTCAAATATTTTTTTACTATTTTTGTTCGTCTCACTAAAAATATTTATTTTATATTTTAATAAAAATAATTATACAATAATATCAAAATACTTTTAATTTTTACCCGAATTACAACATATTACTACACATAGAATTACTTTATGAATAAAGTCAAAGGCAAAAATGTTAAAATGTCTTATACACTTTTATTATCCAATAAAATACAAATATTTCTTAATCTACTACAAAACTCAAAAGATTCTTTTGAAATGGAACGAAAAAAGTATTATGCTATAATTTAATTTGGGTAAATTATATAACACCCTCTTGTTTTTTTTTTAGTAAAAATGCACAAAACACCATGTATTTTATTTATTTATTTAATGTAAAGTTTGCACGAAACACATTTCTTGTTCAAAACTGATATTTAGTTCTAAAAATACATAAACTACGCAAGTTTTATACAAATAAAAAGCACAAAATATCTTAAATAATTTTTTTTGCATTAAATAAATAAATAAATAATTTATTAATCCTTCATTTTATAGTTTTTGGAAACAAATTGTTGTCTGATTTTTATAAAAATTATAAAAATAAATGATTGATCAATTATTTATTTATTTATTTTATTCAAAAAAAATTATTTAAAATGTTTTACGTTTTTTATTTGTATAAAACTTACGTAATTTAAATCTTTATGTCAAACCAAACATCAGTTTTGGACAAGAAGAATGTTTCATGCAAACTTTCCATTAAAACAAAAAGTTTCACGCAATAAATAAAATAGAGGATGTTTTGTGCATTTTACTAAAATACAAAGGATGTTATATAATTTACCAATCTAATTTTACATTTAAAATATCGAGTCAACCCATAATTCAAGATCATAAGTAAAAGTATAATATTTCCTCGTCCCTTTAAGGGTTACCTTTCGCGCCATTGTACTAAACATTAAAAATATAATTATATTTTTATAACTTTTTTATACAAATGTCTTTTTATATTAGTATTAGAAGATACTAATTAAAATATTTTTGTCTTTTTTTAAAATTTATATTAAAATTCAATAAACAAAAAAGTAAGGGATAAGTATTGATTAAGAATTAAAATAAAGGATAAGTATTGATTAAGAATTAAATTAGACAAGCGGATATTTAAGAAGAATTAATTCCTAATTTTTTTACTATTGAATTCAACTTACCAAGTTTTATAATGCACTTATTTATTAATTTTTAGTTAATAAAGAGAGTTGAAGTTGTAACTTAATTTTTTTTACTAAATATTTTCAAATTATACTATTTCGATTATATGTTAAAATAAATAGTTTTTTTTTTTACAAAATATTTCATCAAATATTATTTTAATACTAAATTTAAATCAATTTTTTTTAAGACTTATCCCAAAAAAGGCACAATTCTTTTTTAAAATTGCAGTTATTTGAATAAAATTATTATTCATTTATTGGCAAATATTTTAAAAGTTTAAAACAAATAAAAATTTTGATATTTTATGTAATATTTTATAAAAAAATATTTAATGATATATTTTTTAAAGTTATTATTGATTAATAATGATATATATATATACACACTTATATAAAAGAAGCTTAAGTTATTTTTTTATTTATATATTTTCAAACATATTTTTTATGATTAAATTTATTAATTTAGTTTGAAAAAGAATTACATTAAATTTAGAAACAAAATAAAAATTATACGATGTGTTTAATATATTTTTGGATAGATATGTCTCTTACCTTAAATATAAAAAGAATACGTTGATAATATAAAATTATAAAATTTTGTTTTAAAATATTTATTTTTAGTGAAAAAAATATGTATAATTTTTTCTACAAATATTTTTATTTTTATCATCATATCATTAGTTTTACATTAAAAAAAACAAAAATAATATTATTTTTACACTATTTTTAATTAATATTTTGTTCAATTTATTTTATTTTTTTAAATGAAACAATTCATAATAAATATTATTAAAAAATACATTAAAATATATGTAATATAATTCTATATTTTATCAATTTATAAAATATCACTCATTTTAATATAAAATATTATTTTATATTACTGATATTATTTTTTATTAATATAAAAAAATATATTCATATAAAAATACAAACCGAATACAAATCAATTTAACTATAAACAAACATTTTATTTTTTTTGCCCCAATACGACAAAACAGCAAATAAATTTTTTCTATTTTTTCATTTGTATATTTTTTACTAAAATAATATATATAATTAAAAAAATACAAGTAAATATACGTAATGTAAAAATATATATTTGGATTACTATTACATCCCATAATTATGGGACGCAGCAATTATTCAGTAGTCCTGCCTTTTTATTTTCTTCTATTTTTTAAAAAAATATATTATTATTAAATATTATTTTCCTCTCTTCATGTGTCTTCTCCCTTTTTTGATTTGCCAGCCTGCAAGCTTTTCTCTCATCCCTAAATGCTTTCTCTCTCTTGAAACCGGACAATTTTTTTGAAGAAACGGAGAGAATTCAAGAGATCTCTTTAAGGTTCGTTGTGTTTTCGATCCATTTCGCTTCTGGATTGTCTCCCCTGCGCCTTGGATTGGTTGGATAGATTATGTAATTTGTGTTGCTTTTGCGGATGAGGTTGCGTTTAATTTACTTCCTAATTCATGATTTCATTTGATTAATCGGAGACTGATCTGGAGATTATCGCGTATTTTGTGATCATTGTTCGTAATGTTGATCGTCTGCGGTTGGCCGTTGTTCTTTTGAAATTTGAATTATTTAAGTTGTTGTTTGGTGATTTCTTTTATTTTTCTGCAGCTTGGATTATAAGATTGATATAAGAAGAAATTTTACGGAGTATTGGAGAAATTTTTGAAGGAGAAAACCTTTACGGTGGAGGTGAAACTTTTTTGAGGGTTTTATACGTTATTATCGCCTCGTTTTTGTTGAGTTTTTAACCATTATTGGAAGTTTTTGATCCTGAAATGTGGCGTGTGAGGATTAATTAGTTTTAACAATGTGATTCGTAGCAGCGTAATCGAAGGTTATTTAATTCGCCTTTTTGCTGTTGTTATCTAATTGATTTCATTATTCTCTAATCCCTTTCATCGTAAGGAAAGATTTTCATTCATAGCCGAAAATCTGTATTTGTATATGGCCCTTAGGCTTGGCTAGAGATGTTATTGGATGCTAAAGTACCAATGAATCCTCATGTATTTTAGTTCCAAAATTATGTTATTTTTTTCTAGGATTATACAATGCTGTAGTGCATATACATTTGAGCTCGGTAGCTGGTATATTATAAGATGATAAACCTATATATTGGAAAAGTTTACAATGTAGGCATTTCAGAATGTGCTATTAACGATCTGCAGTTCAGAAGTTTGCGCCAGAAATTATGAATTATCCAGCAATGTCAGATAAATACACTCCCTTTTGGGGCAATCGGTACATTTTAATCAAGCAACTGGTACTCCTGTCATAAGGATAGGGCAGGCCATCTATATTTGGATATAAATGTTTTCCCATGTGGCCAATCTTGTTGAATTCCAATGATATTGCGATGACAGGCAGATGTCTTTGCGTATTTTGGTTTCTTTTCCTGCCATAAGGAAAGGGACAGTTTAAAGTTTGCTGCAAGTAGATACTAATTGTGTTATGAAGTTGCTTTTCTTTCAACATACCGTGCTGAGGCATTTTTTCAGCCTCATACCTCACACAATCTTTTTTGTGATCGTTGTGCATTTGGTAGGTCTCAAATGAATAATTAACAGATGGATTGTGATGGCTTGTAAAAAATTTTGTTGGGTGTCAAGTTCCTTGGAATAACAAGAGGAACCTGTGGTTTTAGTGAATCAACTCATTTTATTCTTCCCCATTTTTGGCTTTGCAAATCTTGTACTGTGCTTTTGGTATGATTTAGGTTGTTGAGTTCATTGATTCCTATGGCTGCATCACTTATTTTAAAATTAAGACATCAGTTTTTTCTTTTTATTTTTTTTCTCTTCATTATCCGACTGCTGCAGTCTTCTTCTGGAAATACTATTGCTTGAATGCACTTTTCTACGTATCGACCATTTTTAACACCTCTTTGCTATTGTAGGTCTATTTAAACAGTTGATTCTGTTCAGTTGAAAGTTAGTCATTTACCGCTTGATAATCCTGTTCTATTTCAACATCTAGAAGGTTATTGTGCAATGTCTAGCTCAGCAAAAGCTCTTGAGCCTGCTTTTCAGGGAGCGGGTCAGAAAGTGTATCCTTTCATAAGTTTATTAAACAGTGAAATATCTAGTATTTCCTAGTTATATTCCATTATTGAATGCAGTTATGTCATGTGTTAATTTGGCACTTGTATTTTTTCTGTTTGTATTCTGTCCCTATTATCCCTGCTAAACTTAACTGGGTTACAGAGGAACTGAGATCTGGAGAATTGAAAACTTCCAGCCAGTTCCCTTGTCAAAATCGGATTATGGTAAATTCTACTCCGGAGATTCATATATTATTCTTCAGGTGTGCATATCTCATCTGTCTATTTTATTATCATATTTTGCCACATATATTATCACTTAATCCAACTGTTTATTATTGTAGAAGAGCAAGATAGTTACTGAATTGATTTTATGTGATTGAAATGCCTTTTGATTTATTTATTTTCCATGTAGACAAGTTCTGGCAAGGGAGGTTCTTATCTATATGATGTACACTTCTGGCTTGGAAAGGATACTAGCCAGGTAATTATCTCGTTCTCATATATCTGTATGCTCAAGAGTGCTTTATTGGAGCCTACAATGTAATTTTAATGTATCTGCAAATTTGAAGGATGAAGCTGGGACTGCGGCTATAAAAACTGTTGAACTTGATGCCATGCTTGGTGGACGTGCTGTTCAGTACAGAGAACTACAGGGACATGAATCTGATAAATTTTTGTCATATTTTAAGCCATGTATCATTCCACTTGAAGGTGGCATTGCATCTGGATTTAAGACACCTGAAGAAGAAGAATTTGAAACTCGGTTATATACTTGTAAGGGAAAACGAGTTGTACATTTGAAGCAGGTTAGAGAGCAGTTCTCTAATATGATGTATTCTCGTGGATATTCAAATAGGGAAAATGTTCTCCAATTTTTATCACCTGACAAAGTTATGCGGCATCATGTTTTATATGTTATTAACTTATTTGTATTTTCTAACCATGCAGGTCCCTTTTTCACGGTCCTCTCTGAATCACGATGATGTTTTCATTCTTGACACTGAAAACAAGATCTATCAGTTCAATGGAGCAAACTCCAATATTCAGGAAAGGGCTAAAGCATTAGAAGTAATTCAATTTTTGAAGGAGAAGTATCATGAGGGAAAGTGTGATGTCGCCATTGTTGGTGAGTACAATTGCTGTGGACTGACATCTTGTTTGGTTTTACATGTTTTTTGTAGTGTTTTTGGTGGCTATGAATGTATTTTGGTTGTATCTTAATGTTATTCCTCACTGTAGATGATGGAAAATTACAAGCGGAGACAGATTCCGGTGAATTCTGGGTTCTGTTTGGTGGTTTTGCCCCAATTGGCAAGAAGGTCTTAACGGAAGATGATATTATTCCTGAGAAGACTTCTCCCCAACTTTACAGGTGATTAATTTTCATATTTTCTTCAACATATATGTAAATTTAGTAGAGCTTTCAATGGCTCTAATGGATATGATACACTCATACTTGTATGCATATAATTTCAATATTCGACACTTGCGCACACTCACTTTCCTACCCTTGCCTTCCTCTTAAGCTAAATAAGTGCTTATGATATAATTAGGGAAGTTATTTAATTGTTTTGACAATTTACCTCTCCCATACAAATGGCTTAGCTGTCTTTTGAACGTAAATCCAGAGTAATGTTTCAGTGCTTCACATGCTTTTCCTTTGGCAGCATTGTTGATGGTGAAGTTAAGAATGTTGATGGAGAACTTACTAAATCAATCCTGGAAAATAATAAATGCTATTTGTTGGACTGCGGTGCTGAGGTATTTGTCTGGGTGGGGCGGGTTACTCAAGTTGATGAGAGAAAAGCTGCCATGCAAGCAGCAGAGGTAAAATCTTAAGATTACTTCTTATTTCCATACTTAAACGAGTTACGAAAACTCACATCCACATAATGTTTCAGGAATTTCTGTCAAGCCTAAATAGACCCAAGTCAACACATATTACACGGCTAATTCAGGGCTATGAAATTCACTCGTTCAAATCAAAGTTTGACTCCTGGCCATCAGGATCAGCTCCTGTTGCTGAGGAGGGAAGGGGAAAAGTGGCAGGTATATATGTTGTTAATGTGTTCACGACCGTATGCTGATATACTTAATAACTTTATGGATTTGTTGTGCAAATTTTGCAGCTCTGCTGAAGCAGCAAGGTGTTGGCATGAAGGGAGCAAATAAAACTGCCGCTGTAGTTGAGGAAGTTCCTCCGTTGCTTGAAGGTGGTGGAAAGATAGAGGTAAAAAAGAAGTTATGTTTTTTGTTCCTCTCAGTTGCAGAGCTATACCTTTTCTTATGTTGAACAATCATATTTGCTTCCAGGTATGGCACGTCGATGACGGTGCCAAAACTCCAGTGCCTCATGAAGACATTGGTAAATTTTACAGCGGGGATTGCTATATTGTACTCTATACATACCATTCTCATGAGAGAAGAGATGATCACTACTTGTGCTATTGGATTGGAAAAGACAGTGTTGAGGTACTATTAATTGTGACTGGTTGTATGGAACATAGAGCTAACCTGTTGTCATCATGCAAGGATTAATTGAATTTAGGACAAAATTTCATTTGCTGTGTACATGCCACGACTACTGACCTGAATTCGCCTTTTAACATTCAGCTTCATCTTCTTTATCAGTGATAAGGCCTGGGTGTGGTTGATATCACTTTTCCTGGGGCATTTGATGTGTCATACTGTAATTTCATGGATTCAGTAAACATGCTGATTGTGATTACATAGTCATGAATTTTGAACTTATGTTTTCTAGCCTTTAGTTTTAGCTTAGTATTACAGTATGAGGCTAGTAGTGTTTCATTTCTGCAGTTTTACCTGCAATATATGCATAGTTGGGTTTCAGAAAAGTATGATGCCCGTGTCTATATTTAATGGGTAGTCCAGACATTTTAGCCAATCATATACCGAATGATGAAGTGATGAAGTATACTGAGCAAACAAATGTGTATCCAATTTTCAGGAGGACCAAACAGAAGCTGCTAAATTGGCCACCACAATGTATAACTCTTTAAAAGGGAGGCCAGTACTGGTATGTGGAACGAACTCCGCTGTGTTTGCTACAATGAATTAGTGAAATGGGACTGAATTGATATATGAATTGTTGCTCGCTCACCCCTATAGGGTCGGGTATATCAAGAGAAAGAGCCACCGCAGTTTGTTGCAATCTTTCAGCCTATGGTGGTCCTTAAGGTGTGAATCAGCACAAAAAATGTATATTAGTTTTAGTCAAAGTAAAATCAATATGAGCCATTGCCCTGAAAATGCGTAACTGATCTATTAGGGAGGACTGAGCTCAGCCTACAAAAACTACATAGCAGACAAAGGTTTAAATGATGAAACATACACCCCCGACGGTGTGGCACTCATTCGCATTTCGGGAACCTCTCCACATAACAATAAAGCTGTTCAAGTTGATGCTGTAAGTTCACTTATCTATCTCCCTTCAAACCATGATTATTATATTATTTCGATTGCATATAAGATAGTATTTGTTATTCAATGTTATTATATATTTTTTTTTTTTTTTATATATATCATACATCAAACTCTGTTTACCATATCCTGACAAGTTTGCTATTGTTCTGTTTGGGGTAGAATTAACCTGATCTTACTTTGAATAATACATTCAAATTAACTGTGTAATATTTATTCTCAGAAGCAGAAGGAAAAGGCTTAAAACATATTGAATATTGTGAAATGATAACTGACAAATATTACCGAAGTTGAGAATACTTGAGAATGGTGTTATGGGACTGTCCTGGAAGATTGAATTTTCTGAAGTGTAATGTCAGATAAGATATTTTCTTTCCGAACACTAGAGAACCAAAGCACTTCAATTATCTGAAGCAACCTAGCAGCTTCAGTCTGACTTAAAAGAAAAAAACAATTTGATGCCATTTTATTAGTGGTTAGCTTTCTTCAATCTAAAGTTAGACTTTTCAAGCTTGATTATATATACTAATACAAAACTTTGTTCTATTTCATAGGCGGCATCATCACTGAATACGTTTGAATGTTTTCTACTGCAATCTGGAAATTCAGTTTTCAGTTGGCATGGTAATCAAGGCACCTTTGAGCAGCAGCAGTTAGTAACCAAAGTTGCAGAATTTCTTAAGGTATATCTTCGTGGAAATAGATACTTTCATCCAGGTTTATTGTAAAGGTCTTTCGAATATGTATGCTGCATATTCTGTTGCAATCAACAACCTAACTGTCTCTATCATTCTGAAATTAGCCGGGGTCAACCATCAAACATGCTAAAGAAGGTACAGAGAACTCGTCTTTCTGGTTTGCTCTTGGTGGTAAGCAGCCTTACACCAGCAAAAAGACATCTTCTGAGATTGTAAGAGATCCCCACTTGTTTGCATTCTCATTCAATAAAGGTACGAATTCTTTCTTTATGCGCTTCTTTCACCCTCAGGCATTTTAAATTATATTCCTCTGTTTTAAATATTGAAATTTCTAACTTTCTCTCCGTTGATGAACACGCCATGTGACCTGGCAGGAAAATTCGAGGTACGTATTGGTAAACAGTTATTTGCTACTGCTGTTGCCTTTTTAATAAGTGGATTTACAATTAACATTTACATACCAGGTTGAAGAAATATACAACTTCTCTCAAGATGACCTCTTAACAGAGGATATGTTGATTCTCGACACACATGCCGAAGTATTTGTTTGGGTTGGTCAAGCAGTCGACTTAAAAGAGAAGCAAACTGCTTTTGAAATTGGAGAGGTAAAGAATAATTTATTATTATGATGATTAAAAATAAAAAATTGTAAATGCTGAAGCTTCTAATTTTATTTTATTTCTGTTTTTTGTTACTCTAATGTCCGTTTGCTGCTTATTTCAGAACTATGTCGAGCTGGCCGCTTCATTAGAAGGCCTGTCTCCAAAAGTTCCGTTATACAGAATCGCAGAAGGAAGTGAGCCTTGCTTCTTCACCACATATTTTACTTGGGATCCAGCTAAAGCTAGCGTACGACCTTGTTCTATTCTTGATTATTAATTTGATACTTTTTTGTTTATATGCGACATTTATTGATTTTATCATGATGCTGTATACTGTTGCTGGGAATATTTTTCTCATTTTGTCCTTATACCACTTGAACCAATATAAACAACTCATTTCTTTGTCTCCCCGAAAACAGGCCTATGGAAACTCATTCCAGAAGAAAATCCTGTTACTCTTTGGAGCTAGCCATGGTCATGCTGCTGAGGTAACACTTCAAACTGTAGAATTTCTAATTCTGCTCTCTCTCTCTCTCTCTCTCACTACTTCTTTGTTTAACAAAGCTCTTATTGTGGTTATGCCATTCCTTTCATGACTCAGTTACATTTTGAATAAGCCCTGGTGCAAATTAGTAATGTTCCATATTTGTCGGTGGAATCCTCCTGCGGACTTTTGTAGTTATATTTTCCAAAAAAAAATTGCAAAAAATATTTCATATGTATACCCATTGTCACTTTTGCAATGTATTTATCTCGCTGATAAAATATATCTTTCATGTTTGCAAAAAGTCGTTATTTCTACCCTTTTCACACCACGCGCGGCCTAATGACAAACATATAGGATATATTTTGCCATCGACATAGATACATGACAAAAGTGATAATAGGGTATATATGGAAAATATTTTTTTGCAATTTTCCCTATTTCCCAATTAAATTTTATCTGAAAAATGCCTTTTGCTGCGGAAAATATTATGTATTTCTCTACTATGGTAATTTGAACCAAAGCGAATATTTTATAGAAGTTTACTCTTACACTAGTTTGTTAATAGTATTCCATCTCCTCTATAATTAACAATTTCTAAACATCGAAAACCTGTTGTGATATTTATCTCCTATCGTCACCATAGATGTTCAAATGCTGAATGCTCTACGTCGTCAATTTGCTTGTCTTTGAATCGATATGTTTCAACAGGACAAATCCAACGGTTCAAATAACGGCCCGACTCAACGAGCTTCAGCTCTAGCTGCTTTAAACTCTGCATTCAGCTCATCTTCATCTCCAAAAGCCGGCTCCGCGCCACGACCACTCGGGAAAACTCAAGGCTCACAGAGAGCAGCTGCAGTAGCCGCTTTATCATCCGTCTTGACTGCTGAAAAGACTCGATCACCCGAAGTCTCTCCTGTTCGACCAGGCAGAAGTCCCCTCATGGAAGACAGCCCGCGCAAGGAAGTTAGCTCTCCTGGTAATCTTCCGACTAAATCCAAACCCATCTATATATATAGTATTTCTTTCGTAATTTCGTCTATCTTTCCAAATACTGACTCAATTTGCGAAAATTTCCTTCCAGCTTCTGCTAAAGGAGAAGATGCTCCCGACACTGAAGAATTCAAACTCACCCCAAAAAGTAGCGAAACCGAGATAACTGATCTTACCCCGGAAAACCCCGAAGACTCACCCGATTCAAAGTCCGACACTTACCAGGATGAAATTACCCCCGAAATCACTCAAGCTACATTCACCTACGATCAGCTCAAGGCTAAATCCGAGAACCCTGTTAAGGGAATCGACTACAAACGAAGAGAGGTTTTCCATTTATATAATTTTCACCGAATTATTATTCCATATTATCATCGTAACACTACATATATATATATATATATGTATATATTTTCAGGCATATCTTTCTGAAGAGGAATTCATGACTGTCCTGGGAATGGCGAAAGAAGCCTTCTACAAGCTCCCTCGGTGGAAGCAGGACATGCTAAAAAAAAAAGTCGATCTTTTCTAGAAACTGCGTCTGCAAAACAAAGGTTCCCTTCCACCCTACATTCGCAACTTATTATTTGTTCGGAATCTTTACTTCCAGCTCGCCCTTTCCTTTACTGTTCTTCGCGTCTTATCTTCTTTATTTCCGTATTATCTGCCTTTACCATGCATCAACTTGGTGTTATGGTTTCCTTTATGAAGAGTGGTTAATTTTTTTTCGCCGGTCTCATCTTCGAAATTTTCGGAAAAAAAAAAAAAAAAAGTTTTTGTTGCTATTATCCCCATATTGTAGTTTGGAAAACAAGAGGCAGATACAAATTCTTTGATTGTGTTGATTGAATATGGTTCTTGAGTTTGTTATACACTCAAAATTCCTTGTTCCTTCCTTGCTTTTATTTTATATAATTATATAAATATATATATTATTGCATTTTGTACATGGCAATTGGCAAGGATTGTATATTAATGTGTTTTGCCATATTAAATTTTAATTTGTGTTGTATTAATGTTTTGTTTATATTTTTATTTTTAATGTTTTTTTTGTTTGGGTTCATTATTTATTTAATGGTATGGATAATAGTGGCTTTGGTTTGGGCAATTTGTCATTTGTATGTTTGTGTGTTTTTGCATTTTATGCATTTGTTATGACTTTTTTTAATGTGATATTATAATTAACCATATTTGTGGATTGGGCTTAATCTTGGGTCTTTGAAGAATTTGTAACACAAATATTTTAAATTTTACTATTTAGATTATTTTAATTACAAACCTTGATCAAGACTTTTCAAACTTTTACCAAAAATATGCATCCGTTGTGTTTTGAAATATTCCGCGGATAGAAAAAATAAATAAATTGAAAATCGGGTTTGATGTTAATTTTTTATGAAAAAGAATTATATTGATATAATATTTTAAATTTAAAAATACATAAATATTTTTGGGTATAAGTTTGATGGGTCAGAAAATAAGGGGTGATAATATTTGAGTAAATAGAAGAGTGAATATAAATTAGTAATTGAGTGAAAATTATATAGATTATAAATATAAATGAAAAGATACCATTTAGGTGGAATAATTTTAAATGGTATGACAATAGAGTGAGACCAAGTGAGTATTATTTTATCATACAAAATTTTATATTCACCCTACCGTTATTAAAATCAAAATTTAAAAGAATACAAAGGAGTTTGAAAATAAGAAAAGATAGAGTTTGTTTACTGTATTAGTTTGAGGTTTTTTTTATGTGAAAAATATATTTTATATTGAATGTTATTTTTATTTTTATTTTTTGTAAAAAAAATAGAATTATATATTATATATATTGAGATTCATATAAATAAAATTTTAGTTGGGCAACTAATTATAATGAATATTGGTTATTATTATTATTATGCAATCTTCTATAATTTTGTATATAAAAATATATATTTTTATAAAATATTATATTCAATATAATTACTATTAAATATAAATGCAAATAAAAAAAACTCTTTAAAATAATAATAATAAGTAGAACCCTATTAGTTTGAAAGCACGTATTTTGGAAGTATGTTGAATCTAAGGTCCACAAAATATTATCTTAATCTTCTCAATCTTTGAATTATTATTGCAATTAGTAGTGGTCCTGTAATTTTCATTTCAATTTTATGTCACACTTTTGAATTGGACCCTTCTGTAAAGACACACACATATATATATATATATATATTATTGTGTGGTAAGAAACCTATCCATCCATCAAACAATTACTCAATTCGTCCCATAACTAGGTATCAATTTATTTTTTGCACATAGGAAGAATAAAGTATAAATGACTAAAATAATGATAGTATGGTGTGATATAAAGGTAGTGATATTTGTGTAATATATTGTAAGTTGTAAGGGTATTTGTAATATTAGGTAAACAGTACAATTGCTAAAAAAAAAATGAATATTTGATTGTGGGACAGAGTAAAATAAAAAAATAGATATTTTGTATGATTAATTATTAAGTGAATTCCATTCCATCATTATTAATTAATTAATTTATTAATCTCCATGTTGGAATGCAATAATTGCAATTCCCTTTTTAGTTGGCATATGTAATTAATATCTTGGTCGGCGGTATTAGTGCTAATTTACAGTTATGATTAATTCTAATCACTATATAAAAACTGCTCTTTTTCTGGGTACAACTGTAATTAAATTAACCATATAAAACTGATATTAGTACAATTAATTTCAATATATGAAAACTATCGATGGAACGAGGGTTAAATGTATAGTTTTTTAAATTATAAGGGAGTCTAATATAATTTTAAAATATTAAAGGATTTTGCGCAAAATCACATATAAATTTTATATTGTTTTATTTTTCTTAATAAGAAAATAGTGATAATATATAATTATTGTTGTTGTTATAGCTTACTACGCTGTAATATTTTCAAAAAAATGTGATAATTAGGAGAATAAATTTTTTGAACAATAAATAAATATATATTTTTATATGCACAAATAGAACGTATTTTTTTATAAATTTTATAAGTTAACCTCTTTTATATCTGCCACTAAACACATAGTACGGTTGATCTCTCTGTATAAAATGTGTATTTACAAAATATTAGAGTTGACAAAAACTAACCGGACACGATCCGATACGGAATAATTAGATTTGGGTCAAATATTTCAACCCAATTATATATACGGGTTGACACGAACCCGACACGATAATAAACGGATCGGGTTAGGGTTGAGACTCTCAACTCAAACCCGACACGACAACCCGCTTATAATATATTAATATTGATTAATATATTTAATATATATGTAAAATAATTATAATTTATTAATTTTCTCATAAATTAATTTAAACTAAGTTCAATTTTAAATAATTCAACCTAATTTACGATCAAACCAATAAAAACTAACAAAACACGACAACACAACAAAAAATTATTTAATTTGAATCAAGAAATTCGATTTAATTATGTATACGGGTCAACACGAGTCAATCCGAACCCGACATGATAATAAGCGGGTCAATACGAATCCGACACGATAATATATTAGTTGGGTTAAAGTTGAATAATTTAACCCGTTTAAATATTCAACCTGACACGAATCGACTCATTGTCAGCTCTACATAATATAAATACTATCTACATACAAGATTTGTAAGTAGCGTATATGTACATTGTATATGAGGGGCATATTGATTGAGTTTGGTATAAAATAAGTAAATGATGCGTATTCCTTTAAATTTATATTTTTATATAAAAGCGAAAATTTAATTCCATTTAACAAAAATATTACATTAAAATTACTATACTGACCATAATTTTAAAATAATAATAATAATAATAATAATAATAATTCCAACAAAACACATACTATTAATATATATATATATATATATATATAGTGTGTGTTACCCATCATCACAAGACTAATGATTTTAGTCACATGCATCATCTTATTTGCATGTGACATAATATTAGGAACAATAAAAATCATAATCAATGATCACAAAAACTTTAAATGATAATAAGGTAAAAGCATATATGTATCACATGTATATTTGTTGTCTGAATTATTTTATATATACTATTTTTTTATCATTAATTAGTCTATTATTTTTGTTATAAAAAAAAAAAAGATCAATAATAAAGGTGAAATATTTATAGTAAAATATGTGAATTATTGTTTTTTCTTTAAAATATATATATAATTTGTCAATTTTTTCTATAAAATATTACATTTAATACTATTTAATAATTATTTCGCTTAAATATAGTAGATTAAAATTCAAACACAAATTCACAAACAAAACCTAAAATATCACATTTAACACTATATAATTATTTTTTTATATTATACTAAAAATTAATTTTACATTCAAAATATTACATCAACACCTGTTTATATCGTATTGTCCAATTCAAAATTTTTATTATTCAAATCTCAATTCAAAATCCAAAACTCCAAACAAACAAAAAGTCAGATATTTAATTAAATTGGTTTATATTTGTTAGGCATGCTTAAGATTAATAAATTTATCAAAAATTTAAATAAATCATCTAAAAAGAAAAAAATCATACATAGAGAGAGAGTATTATATTATATATATATATAATACATACATTATTTATTTTAAATATATGTGGTGACATGATTAAATAAATATGAAGTTATAAAATACAAAAGGGATTATTGGCACGTTACGTATGATCTCTCTATGATTGTTATATTCTTAGAAATATTCGACTGTTTTGTTTTTGACCAATTGTTGCTTCCAATTTGTCCTATTGATTAATTATTGTCCTAATTTGTTTAATTAATTTTGTATACGTGTCACTGTCACGTTATCCTTCGAATTAAATTATGTATACATGTCAATTTACTATTGGCTCTTATTTATTTAAATTATGTATCTACACTATTATTTGGTCATTAATTATTTTATTTCTGCGTTTGTCTATTTAGGGTGTGTTTGTTTTGGGGATTGAATTTTCAATCCACCGTTCATCCAATTTTTTTCCTCGAGAACATCAAATCAAACATCTATTTTTTATTTTTTATATTATACTAAAAATCAATTTTACATTCAAAATATCACATCAACACTTATTTATATCACATCATACAACTATTTAAATTCAAAAATTTTACTATTCAAATCCCAACTCAAAATCCAAACCCCCAAACAAACACACCCAGCAGTGGGCATCTTTTAGATTTTCTTTGGATTTTATACATATACTCCCTCCATCTCGGATTTATAATAGTCTCTCCGTCTCGCCACAGATGATCCAATTTTTTTTTGTACGTACCACAAAAGATGATCTATTTTTATTTTTGGCAAGTTTATCAATCTTAAACATAGTTAACAAATATAAATCAATTTAATTAAACTTCTAACGTCTTACACGTAGGACCCACTCAAAACCCTTTTTATTTCTATATATCTCCTCAATTAACAAATATTTTTATCTACCTTTAAAACTCCTTATTTTTTATAAAACTAATTTATGATAATGATAAATAAATAAATATATATTTTTTATTCATTTGTATCAAATAAAATTTTATTGTCTACAAAATGATATCCATATTGCATATATTTTATTGAGATATAATTGTAAAAATATTTAAAATACCAACAACACTACCCATATAAAAAATAATAAAATATTATTTTAACTTATTATTAATAACTTAATAACCTATACTACCTAAAATACTATGTTCCTAGCAAAAAGCTCCATCTTCTAGGCGGGATGGAGGGAGTAATAATTTTTATCTTTTATATTTTTTTTCAAAGAGGTCATTTGAAATTTTGTAATAAATTAATAATTACTAGTATTTTATTGGTCAATAAAAATGTGTAAGAGATTTTGACAATTT